TGGGTTAGACGTATGGAGATACATTCTGCCACATCCCAAATTTTCCTATTTTTTTTTGAAACTTGCATAATCAAAGTAACTTAATATCCTCTAAAAGAATTTATTTCTGACACTATTAATTCTATTTCCTAAATATCCCTTTCCAGGAATACCTTACATGTTAGCGCTTAATCACAGGCTAGGATTCTGTAACAGTTCATTTTAAGAAATCAAGAGACCTTTCAAGTCTTGGAATACTAACTTATTATATTTGGAAGGGCAGAGCCGCAAGAATATCAATTTCCCTTGACACCAGTTTTGTTTCAAAAGACTCTATTGAGAGGCTCATGAGTTTTCTCATCCATGCAAGTCTGTCGCCATCCGCCACGTTAATAGCACCTGAGCTGAGATCGTGCATTTCAATTTACAAGTATTTATTGTCTGCTGAGCAAGATGCTGTGTGCTAACTGGGCCTTGGTCAGAAATCACTTCTTAGACCCAGCAGCAGCAGCGATAGCACTGGTGGTGGGTGGGGAGTGGTTGGGGCAGGTCTGGCCAGTCTGCCCACCGCCTGCGGTTTCAAGCTCATGCATTCTCACTAATGCACAAGTCTAGGATGCTCTCCTCTCTCTGTGGCAGTATCCATAGGAACTGCTCACCTGCTGGCTGGCATCTTACGAATACTGGTCAATTTCAGTCTGCAGCAAGTTCCTGTTGAAGGCCCTGCCCACTCATGCTCCCTCCTCTGGGTGCTAGCCCCCAACAAAAGCCGTCATTGAAAGGGTCAGTCCAAGAGGCCATGCTCATATTACATGACCCTGCCTCCTTGGTCACAGCTGATTGGATAGACACTTGACCCAAGAGTGCCTGATCCCTAGGCAGATGAACTGGACCAATCGGACTCTCAAGAATTTGCCTTAGGCGGTACAGAAATGATAGTCAGAGAGGGATGGGTATTAAAAAGGACAGGTTGTGTGGAGGAGGTCCGAGGGTGGATTTTCAGCTACACGTACACTGATGAGAAAACAGAGAAAGCTATAGGCCAAGGGAAGGAAGATAACTGGGCAGACAGGCAGAGAGAAACAGAGATGAAAGCTCATATGGAGAGAATAGGAGAGCAAAAGAGAAGACACCGTCGCCATCCCGTTCCCATATGGGAGCTGTGTTTTGTTCCTATGAAATGGCCTTGTACCTTTCGGTCAACCCCTGAAAGTTTGAATTAGTAAGTGTGAATGGGTTTCTAGTCCTTGCAAATTTCCTTGACTAAAATACCTTTAAGGTTGATTCAGTGGCAGAATTTAATTTCCAATACCTGCATCCAAGTCGGTCACTGCTCCAAACTCAATCACTGTCTTTCCCGAGTGTTTGGCTGTATTTTGAAAGGAAAGTCCAAACTATTTTCTGATGTGTGGCAGAAGGAATGGATTAAGTTTAAATTCTCTTCTCAAACTTTAAAAATAATATGTATTGTTTTATGCATTAAACATTGAGTACCTGTGTGTTATGTAGGAAAAAGCAGCTTATTATCTTTAATCAATATTTATATCTTTTGATCCATTTCTGCTTGTTAGAGAAGCGTTTCTTTTAGTCAAGTATTTAAATTCTCTTCCATATGTACTCTCAGATTTTTTTAAAATCACAAATCTAACAATTTCTTATCCATTCTTCCATCAAGATTGCTCAGAGATGACAATTCTTCTGCTGAATTCTTAAATTAACAAATGCACAATAACTTTGTGTACCAAAGAATTGATTCTTACATAATCCACCCTGTTTTTGTCAGCTCAGGTTGCCATAACAAAGTACCATAGACTGGGTGGCTTATATACAACAAAAATGTATTTCTCACAGCTCTGGAGGCTGGAAGTTCAGATCAGGATGCCAGCACAGTGGGGCTTTGGTGAGAGCCTTCCTCTGGGTTGCAGACTGCGGACTTTTTATTTTATTCTCACAGGCAGAAAAGAAGGCAAGAGAGCTCCCTGGGGAAGGGGGTGGGGGTCTGTTTTATAAGGGCACTAATCTCATTCATGAGGGCTCTACCCACATGACCTAAACAAGGCCCAAGGCCCCGCCTCTAATACCATAACAAGGGGGGTTAGGATTTCAACATATAAACTGGTGGTAATGGGGACACAAACATTCAGTGTATAGCACACCATGAGAGAGGCAACTTCCTGCTCCATAGGTAACAACTGCTATCTCAGATCACAGGTACCAGGGCACACAACAGACTTTTTCCTGCATCACCAGATTGCCTCCCCCAGTGCAGAGCATGGAATCTGCTACCTCACAACGACAAGCGTCATGGTCTCCCTTCCTGTTTGGATCCATGGCACTGAGAGAGGAATACACCCCTAGTCTTGAACAGTAGTGGAGAACACCATTTCCCTGATGGCATTCTCTGGAAAAAGCCAAAATGCGTGTCTTTTCAGAATGCAGAAAACTCACATCAAAACTAGTTCCAAAAAATGTTTATTATGCCACAAATGCACTGTCCTCTATACACTTTATTTGAAGTTCTTTACATAATCAATCATCTTTTTCTTTACGAGAACGTAGGGAGTCTCTCACATGACCTTTGTCTACTTTTTAAACTTCCTGGCATAGTTCAAGAAATGCATCAGAGACAAAGCGTGCAGGCAGCATGGTGAAATGGAAAGCAGGCTGGATCATGAATCAGCAGGCTTCGGCTGGAATCCTCAGGCGGGTCACTCTGCTTCTCTGGACTTTTGCTTCTTTCTCCAAGTCGCCAAGGTCCTTGCGGCTTCTTCAACTGTCTGGAGGGTCGCGAGGAACACAAAGCCTCTGGGCTCCCATGGAACTCTGTTTTCACTTCCACGAGGCACTTTGGACCATCTGCCTTTTCTCAGAGCCAGCTGTCCAGGTATCTGTCACTTCCATGAGGTCAGGAGACTCTTCAGAAAAGGGATGACATCTGAGTCACAGAAAATCAAACAACGGCGGCTGTCTCCCCCACTGGTGGGAAAACATGAACAGACTGACTTCAGGTTTTCCTCCCATATATACTCTTCTTAAACCTATGGTGTCTAGTTGAAGGGAGTATCTGATTATCAGGCTATATCTTTACTTGTCTCAGTTGATCAACTTAATATTTCACGGGCTTCTGTAAAGACCGCAATAATTTGTTTCTCCATCCTCTGAGGAAGCTGGAGCCATACCACTGCAAACCGTAGGCTCATTCTCTGTAAGTCACTGGCACATCCGAAGCTCAGACACTGTCTTTGAAGCATGTGCATATATTATAATTACACTAAGCTCTTAAAACTCTATTTTCACATACAATATTTCCAGGCATTTACCAATTCGACAAAGTACTGGGTTGATGTCATTGCACTGATGAAATATTGATGTTATTGATAAGGCGGGACAATGTAGCTGACTTTATCAGACTCATACCGTTTACATGAAAAGGCTGAGTTTCTTTGGCTCTTTGTTCATTCGAGTGCATTGAATACCAATTTGGACAGACTTAGACATTGTGTTAACCTGTCGATAAAATCTTGCACTGTCCACTGTGTTTTGCGAGCTGATTTAGGTTTTGGATTACAACTGGCCATTGGTAGAAATATACCGTATATACACACGGAAATTACAAAAATACATTTTATTTATAGCTGATTTTTTTTTAAGTAACAAAAAACTAACACTATGAAAGATCAACCAGCATACCAAAAGGACACTACCTAATATCACCTGAACAAGAGACTTGTTTGGGGATCCCATGACATATCATCTCCAGAACATTCCAGAAAGGGCAATTTGCCATTGGGAAATAAAAACGGCTTCTTTGAAAAGTCTGTGCTTTGACGGTTTGAATCTCCCATTCCAGTCAGTTCCACCCCTACTCTTCTCTCAACTTTTAAATTTCTAAATTCTCTCAGTAAAGACCAAAGAAACTCATGAGGAGAATGGAAATATGGGCTCACAGGGAATGGATACAGCTGAAGCTACATGGATCCTGGGTGAAGGCAGAACAGGACCTTGTTCCCCAACAGATATCGAGTCCCCAACATGCACAGCTCCCAAAGTTGGCGAGGGAACCAGAGTGCTTCCTCCACCAGGCTGCCTCCAATAAGCAGCTGTTTTGCTTTGCGTGGACAGTCTGTGGCTGGTGACTTGGGGCTGTGTGACAGTGTCCACCCAGAGCTCTGGAGGCCGACTCGCCATGGCAGGGAGGGTGACTTGCAACATCACCTTCCCAAGGTCAGCGGCCCTGCTGTTTCAACAAACGTCCTCGTCCTCCAGCATCCATTAACTACAGGGGGTGGGGAGGGAGGAGACGGGCTGACTGTACACTTTTAAAATGTTATTTACATTTAAATGTAAATCAACAGATTTTCTACATTCAGAGGCTTCTATAAACAGAGGCT